ATACCCCTCAGGTCCCAGCCTGCACTGGGCCCACGTGCCCACACATGACGTTGTCCGTAGGGACAGGGCAATGGAGGCTTAGTGCTGTGGCCGGGAACAGGAGCCTTGTTCGTGTCCGAGGTGGGGGCCCCCACCAGCTCCCCTTTGTCAGGCCTGGAACCTCAGCAGCCTGTGCTCCCGATCCAGGACTTGTGGGCTGGGCTGGCCGGGACGGCTGGGAGACCACACTGCGTCCTGCATGCTGCTCGTGGTGCGAACCGTGACAGCTCGGGGGCAGCTGGGTCTGCCCTTTGGGACAGAGGGGCTTCTCAGATACCATGAAGCTGAGCCTTTTTTACAGGAGATGCGGGGTCCTTCCGGGGAGGGGTGCCTCCATTTGGAGAGACTCAGCTGCACCTGCTGCTCTGGGCCGGCACACCAACGCGGGCAGGAGGACGGAACCGTGTCTCCGTTCAGTCCCAGGGTTCCCGCAGGTCCCCTGACACGGCACCTTTAATGCCACCTGAGGTTTACAAAGACATGGAAGCGTGGCCCCTGCCCTGGAGGTCGTGGAAGGTGTAGCCTTAGCGGCCATCAGCTGGCGTCTCGAACCCCCTGCAGGTTCAGCCATCTCAGCCGAGTTATCCGAGGAGTTGCGCGTGGCACTCAATTCCTGGAAGGCGACCCAGGACCCGCTCTCCAGCCAGCAGGTGGACGGTGAGGGCGGGGCCGGCTGCCACCGGGGTCCTCCCCTCATCACGCCAGCCCCGAGGCCTCTGCCTGCACCTGCCTCTGGCCCCTGCTCCCCCCCGCCAGGCCTCCCTGATCCTGCCCCGTGGGGACCACCTGCCTGGCTCTGTGTCTCTGACACAGGGTGCGTCCCTCCTTGAGTAGAACACACTGTTCCCACACGCGAATATACTTTCTTTCCTTTATCCAAAGACGATCTCTGCACGCAGAGGTCTCCTTTGTCTGAACGCCAGGAAACCCCTCACAAATGTCTGGGCCACCTGGCGCACCGCGGCATCAGCATGACCCCTGCTGTCCTGGCCCCCAGGCCCCGGGAATCTCGAAGGGCTGCTTTCACCATTTCCCTCCCTTTCTTCAACACACACATGGGCAGGTGGGGAAGGACGGACGAGGGTGGTCACAAGTAGGGGTGTGGTGAGCCCGCCGGGCAGTGAAGGGTTTCTGGGGAGGGACACGATCATGGAAGCCCCCGGGGCCGCTCAGCATGGGACTAGTCTGACTGCCCCCCCGCTTCTCGACAGGGCGCCTCCTTCCCTTTAGTAAGAGCGCCTGTGAGTTCAACTACTTGAGGACAAGCGAATCCCGGATGATAAGCCCGGTCCCCAGCAGCCCAGTCCTAGCGCACAGCCAGCTGAGAAAGCGCGTGCCCTGGTACATCTCCGTCATCCATGAGAAGGTACGGCCGTGTGCGGAGCCCTGGGCACAGACCCTGAGCCGCATGCCCCAGCTCCGCATCCCGCTGGAGAGGAGGGCCGCGGCCACCCGGGGGCTCTCGTCCCTGGATCCGGTCAGCTGTTCAGGCAGGTCCCCAGACGCGGCCGAAGCTGACCCCCAGCTCCCTCTTCCGGTTCCGTGAATCAGACGTTTCCAAATCCTGCAGCCCCCATGCGCCTTCACCCCAGTGGGCGGCGGGTTAAGCTGGCGTGGGTCCCGCCCCCTGGCATGCAGCTCGCCCCACGAGTCATGACCTCAACCATTCACATACCTTTGACCCGATATTTCCACTTGGGAAGATGTATTCTTAAAGATTAACAACCAGCTCGGTGTGCAAAGATCTACCTACGAGTTGATTTGTTGGGATTTGATTCTCTGCATCCTTGTTTGTGACGGAGAACGGCCCGTAATTTACTGTCTGGTAATTCTCTTGTTTGCTTTTGGTGTCAGAGTAAATCTGGCCTCGAAACAAACCACCAAGCGGTGCCCGGGTGGCTCAGTCGGTTAAGTGCCTGACTCTGGATCTCGGCTCAGAGCATGATCTCACGGTTCATGGGTTTGAACCCCGCATCGGGCTCCATGCTGACAATGCCGAGCCTGCTTGGGATTCTCTCTCTCTCTCAAAATAAATAATCAACTTAAAAAGTTTTGTTTTAAAAACCATCGAAAAGTTGGGAGACATTTTCTCCCTTCCGTTCTCTATCCTCTGGAAGGGTCTACACGAGATTGGTGAAGAACATCACTGAGGACTCCTGCAGAGTCCTCAGAGAGAAGGTTCTACAAATAATGAAGTCACTTCCTTGAAAGATATTCAGAGTTCCTTCTCCCTCTTGTTTCATTTTGGGGAAGCGATGTTTTTGTTTTTTGTTTTTTTTAGGAATGTGTCTGTTTCATGTAAATTTTCAAATTTATTGGCCTAGTCCTGTACAGGATGGTGTTTTATTACCCCTCTAATTTCTGCAGAGAGAAAGCATGCCTCTTTTCCATTCCTGATGGTGCTAACTCCTGCCCTCTTTCTCTCCCTCTGTCCTGCTAGGTGTTTATCAACGTTAATAGTCTTTTCTTAGAACCTGCTTCTGTAGTTGTCTTAAAGCTGGTGAAGCTTTCATGGCCGTCATGGAAATGAGCACACAAAATGTTGAGTAGCTGGTGGGCACACAAAACCCTGAGGGTGTGGGTCCATGGGTCTTCGTGTTACCTTTGATTCCCGAAACTCTGCCTCGACATTTTCTGATAGGTTTCACAACTTTGAAAGTGTTGATATCCTGGGACCACTTTGGGGAAAGCCTGAGGCTCTAATTAGCTAGAGCCACACAGATCTGTGTAAAAGAATGTCCTTTGCAACATGGTGTTCTTCTGCAAACAGCGGGAAGGGGTATTACCAAAGGCGGAAGTGAACGGGCCTGGGGAAGGGCTGCAGGCTTGGCTGCCTCCAGAAGCTCGGAAGGTGTCCTTAGGGCTGTCTTTCCCTCATCTCCGCCTGGTCTGAACTGGCCGAGGTGATGCTTCATCACTGGAGGGAGGCCAGAGAGCCACCTGCAGCCACAAGCCCCCAGTCGCACCGAACATCCCCTTTCCAGCCACCGCTGTCCAGTTTGGGACACATGCGTGGGTCTCGATCACTATGGCACGGGAAAGAGGTGCGATCTTGGCAAAATCATTTTAATGTAATTGTATAAGCAGTTCCGCATTCCTTCAGATCCCCCGCCCCCGCCTTGCTGCTGGC